CGGGCGGCGCTGCTGGGCCCGGCCCGGCTGCGGGGCGCCGGTGAGCGGCCGGGAGCGGGCGGTCGGGGCCGGGATGGGCGCCTGGACCGGGGAGGCGGCCTGGAGGGGCGGCCTGAGGCCGTGGGGGCCCTCAGAGAATGGGGTCCCGCCCTTCACCCGCCGGTCGCAGCCTGAGCTGGGGGGTCCCGCAGGCCTCACCGCGGTCGGGGGGTCCCTGTGGTCCAGAGCACTCCCCCCCCCAGGACAGAGCCAGCGGCTGGGAGGGTGTTAGCGTCATGAGTCCCCTCCTCCCGCGCACAGCGAGGGGCGCTCTGGGTGTCCTTGTCATTCTCTGAGGGTAGAAATGGGGGCTCGGGGGTCGTATCCCCGCTGCAGCCAGGCTGCCTGCTCTGGGGGTCGCTGGGGGCCCGTCACCCTGTGCCGCAGCGCTGGGGTTTGTGGCGTCCCTGGGGTCCTGTTCCCCCCCCAAGAGATTAGAGCCGCGGGGTGGGGTGTCCCTGTCCCTGCAGGCTGAGCTGAGAAGGGCCGCAGGGGCCCGGCCGTGGCGCGGGGCAGGGCTCTCAGAGCCCTAAGGGGTGACGCCGCCTCTGACCTCCCGGTCTTTGTGCCTTCCCGCCGCAGGGATCCCATGGAGTGTTCTCAGGAACTACTCCTCTGCCAGCGCCAAGGAGAAGGCGAGGAGAAGTGCCGTCTGTGAGAGGACGGAGCTGCTGGAAGGTGAGTCAGGGAGGGCTGGGAGAGACGCGGGGGTTTCCCTTGTTCTGTGTCCTGGGATGTTTTCCCGTTCTGGGTAGCCATAAAGAAGATATTTGGGACTGTAAATAGTTGTCGCCTGGGCAAGGATGTCGGGCTCCCCATGGACTTGCTGGCCTCCCTGAGCAAGTTCTGTCCTGTCTTAAGGACCTGGAGGCCTGCCCCACCCAGAGGGAGGGTTGAATTGCTGTAAGACGCAGAGTGGTCCCAAGGGGTGGTAGAGGAGTCCCTCCGGGGTGTGTGAGGGCCCAGCAGACCTGGAACATGCCCTGGCTTTGGGCTCCCTGCCAGCGTGAGCTGGGACCTGAGGACTTTGGAGACACAGCCCCAGAGAAGTGATGGGACACGTGCCTTTTCTCTTGCAGAGCCGTTGTTGGGTTCCCTGGGACACAGGGCTGGGCCACAGCGTGTGGGTGGGTCCCAGCAGGACAGTGGTCAAAGCAGCTGATTGCTGTGGGGGGCTGCCAAGGGGGGAGGAAGCCCTTGTGTGTTCCTGAGGCCCTGGGGTGGGACAGAACCTCCTGCTGAGCCTCGTGTCCCTTCACCTCCCCCTGCTGTGTGTCCCGGCAGTGCTGAAAGCTCGAGTGAAGCAGCTCCAAGGCAATAACGTCCAGGAGGTGACGGTCAACAAAGTGGAGCCGGCCCTGCTGGAGAATGCCAAGTACCAGGACCCACTGTGGAAAGGGGGGGCTCCTGGCCCCGCAGAGGAGCAGCCCGCTCCCAGGGGAAGGGCTGAGAGCCCGGCCCAGCCCAGCAGCTGGGTCGAGAATTTGGAGGCGGGAGTGTGCACCCGGCAGCTGAAGGGGGAGCAGAAGCTGTCCATCGCTGCCTCCCAGCTGGCTGTGGAGGCCAAAGCAAAGGGCAAGGCAAAGACCAAAGCTAAAGCCAATAAGAGCCCGAGGAAGCCGAAAGCTAAAGTGGATGCTGCCATGAGCTGGGCCTCCACTGAGTCTGACAGCAAGCCCCAGGTGGAAGCGGTGAAGGAGGAAGCAAAGGCGCAGAGGCCTTGGAGGGTGCTGCAGGACAAGGAGAGCAACCACCACAAGATCCTGCAGCAGACGGTGCAGTCCAGCCTGGAATGCTTCCTGTTCCTGCAGCAGCCGGAGGAGGCCGAGAGGTTCCTTCTCATGTACTACAAGTCCCGCGCCAAGAGGCACCTTCTTAATGTCAATGCCTACAATATTGTGATGCGGTGCTGGGCAAGGAAGGTACCGAGCTGCCCTGGGTGGCCGAGGAGGGAGAGGGGCTGGCTCGGAAGAGCCCTGTGCCTGTAGAATCAGCGGTTGTGGTTTTATCTGTGTTTTGTCACCACTGCCTTCAGCAGGTGTTCAAGGGGGGTTGGCTCTGCTGAGAGGGCCGGAGCTGGTACAAGGCCACTGAATCGGGCTACTGATTCCTGTGCGGTGGCTTTGAGGGGAAGAAGGGGCTGGGGGGGTGTAGACGTGGCTAAACTGGAGCAGGAGCAGCGTGAAGCTGTGACGTGGGGCTGCTGGTGTCTGTGTGACAGCCCCTTCCCTTCCCGTCCGCAGGGCTGCTTGCAGCGTGTCCACTGCCTGTTTTACATGCTGGAGTCCGCCGGCCTCCGGCCCAGCCTGGACTCGTACATGGTGGTGCTGGAGTGCCTGGGCCGGAGCCAGGCGCCCGCCAAAGCCATCCAGAGGTAACACTGGGGGAGGGAGGGGTTGTGCCCACTGCCTGCGTGGATGCGTGTGCTGACCCGTGCCTGGGGTGGGCAGAGCTCCCGCAGCCCTTCCCACCCCCAGCTGCTGGGGAGTTTGTCCCCGATCTCACAGGGGTGGGAGGTGGAGGAGGTGCAAACAGCCTTGCTCTGGGCAGGGCCCTGGGCTGGCAGCAGCCTCATCGCGGGCAGGGGCTCCTTGCTCTGCCCCCACTCTGGGCACCTTGTTGCTGCCCGGTAGGAATGGCTCCTCTGTTCATTTTTCCATCAGCTCCATGGAGTTTGCCCTGCTGGGCTCAGCCAAACAGCTGTTTTTTGCATGATAATCTGGAGGAGTGGGATCAGGAGATAGAGATGGGTTTCGTGGGGCGAGTCTGTGTCAGACCCAGCATGAGGAGCTGAAGGAGCCCTGTGAGGTCCCACCAGGTGGGGCCTCAGGACCTGGGTCCGGTGGCACAGGCAGCTGCTTTGTCAGAGGATGGGGGAAGCTTTCTGGTGCTCTGCTAGTGCTGCACAAACACCCTTGGATGGTTCAGGGCTTTGCGCTGGCCTCGTGTGTCCCTTGGCTGGCAAGCAAGGTCTAAATGCCTGCGAGTGAAGATCTTCCAGTCAGCTGATCTCCAAGCAACTGGTGTTGACGTTCCTGCTTGGGTGTGTGGGTGCTGCAGCAGTGCAGCAGCGCACCCGCAGGGCTGTCTGTAGGCAGATGTTTATAGCACACCTGCACGGATTTGTCCACCCCCAGCCTTGCCAGGGTGTGTGTGTGTTTCCCCACAGCTGTTTGTTTGCTGTGTGGGGGTACGAGCTCTCCTTTCCTTTCCTCTCCTAAAGGTGTCTCCCAGCTGGATGTGGTGTGGCCCGGAGCACCGAGCTGTCCGGGCCTTGTGAGATGGGGGTTGTTTCCCGCTCTGCTCTCAGACTGTGGTGTTGCTTTGAGGGTGTGAGGTGGGGGTTCCTTGTTTTGACTGCGCTGCTGGGCAGGGTTATGTGAGAGTGGAGGAACCTGCCTCTCTGCTCAGCCTCGCAGCGGCAGCTGAGCTCCGTCTCCCGACCCGGTGCGAAGGTGAAAGCTGCCCGCTCAGCTCGGCAGAGGTGCAGGCTGGAGGGAGGATAACAGCTCGCTGTAACCTGAGGCGGGTGCCCTTGTCGGGCTGGGCCATGCTCCCACCTCCGGAGAGCTGTGCAGGGGCAGGGAGGGCATCCACCTGCCTGACAGCTGTGCTCTTGGCAGACTGAGGCATCTCCCCCCTGGGGGTTTCCTGGCTTTGCCTGTTTCTGGGGCTGGGCAGACACCGGCATGGTCGGGCACAAGTTGCTGCACGGCTTTCGGTGGAGGGTCCATGCAGTGGCTTTGAGGCATGTGCTGGAGAAGGGAGGAGGCGTCCCAGGGCAAGTGTCTGGAGCATATCCTGCTCCCCAGGGCTGTCAGAGAGGCTGCATCCTCCTGCGGCTGCTCTGGCATGAAGGTGGCACAGGGAGGTCCCACTGGCCCTCCTGGAGCGGCCTGGAGCTGTGTATCAGTGTCCTGCCCTGTGCTCAGAGCTGGTTGTTAGTGGTGCCAGCCCCCAAGCCCTGCTTCAGGAGAGGGCTTTTTGTGGCTGCCAGGGATTTGGGAGGGGGTGGCTCTTTGTCCTGTAGTGTCTCACGGGGGCCTGGGTGATGCTGTTGAGGGCACAAGTGAGGGAGGAGAAGCCTGATACCATCAAGGCTCTTGGATCCTCCGAAGGAGTCACCCCCATCCTTTGTCTTTAAAACTTTGTTCTGTGCCTTGTCACGTGCTGATTTCTGTGCAGTGCACACAGTCCCCTGTGAAAGGTCGAGCCTGTCTTATCTGCCCTTCCTCAGGTGTGTGAGGCAGCTGAAGAAGGATGGCTTTGCCGTGGATGAGCTCTTCCAAAAGTGCCTGTTTGAGGAAGATGAGAAGGAGAAGGTGCTGAAGGCCATCAGGACCATCCAGCCCAAGTACCAGCTGCCCCCTCCACCCAGCCGCAAGATCTGCAAGTCTTCTCTGCTCCGGACCTTCTACTCCAGAGTAAGCCCCAGCTCAGGGGTGGCTGCAGCTCAGAGGGGTGTTGGGGCCGGCCAGGCGGCGTAGAGGGTGTCCTCGGGTCCAGCCCAGGGCTGTCATGTGGGAAGAACTTTTTAGCCCAATCTCTGCTCAGTAGCCCTCACAAACTGTCAGGCAGATCCATGTTCTGAGGAAGTGATCAGCCTCACTGACACAGGAGCTGGGGGCTGGCGGGGGCTTTCATGGGAGCTCTCCCACAACCCAGGAGCAGAGCAGGAGAGGCCGGTTACCCTGGGCTTTGCCAGCCAGAGTGCTCGGCCCTCTGGATGCAGAGGTCCCAGAAAGGTGCCTTTAGCAGGACTCGCAGCATGTGCCTCTCGCAGGGGAGCCGGCACAACATCTTCTCTTCCTCTGGCTTTTGGCACTTAATGTCTTGCTCTTATTGCAGAAGACGACGATGCCATACCCCAAGCTGGATTTCTCTGTGCAGGAGTTGCAGGAGCGCTTTCAGCAGCAGCTGGAGATGGAGCTGAACAACACCGTAACCGTCGAGTCAGTGGAGTCAACCAAACCTCTGACCCCGCAAGCCACTAAAGCGGTAAAGTCAAGGGAGTTCAGCCCTTGGGACTTGGGGGGGAGTTGCGGGGCTCAGTGGCCTAAAGAGCAGGGCAGCTCCCTGGTGACACTCACCACAGCGTTACTGTCTTGCTTCCCTTTTTGCACAGCGCAACATGCTGGACACCCTTCGACCCCAGTGGCACGATTCCATCCTCCAGGCCCTGCAGAAGTCGAAGCACAACATGTCCCAGCTCCAGATGGGGTCGGGGTACAACATTCTCTACCCCTACCTGTGCGTGCTGCCAGACGAGGAGTATGTGGCCATCATGCTGCAGGTAGGACCCTGCCCTGCCCTCGCATTGCCGCAAAGCACCAATGTCCCGCTCGGGCCAGCAGAATCGGAACAAGGGCCTCAAAGTTTGCTCAGGTTATCTGGTGCAGGCTCTGTCTGCTCCCTGTTCTGAGCAGCCAGGGAAGCCCCTGCTCTGTCCTGGCCCTGTGTCCTTACTCATCTGTTCAGCACCATGGGGATCAGCATCTTTCTGTGCTCCCCAGACAGGGGCGTTAACTCCCGCTTTGTCTCTGCTCCGTCTTTCTGTTCCTCCCGCCTTAAGACCCTCTTTGCCTTCCTCATTCTCAGGTCCTCAACACCCTCTCTCCGCAAGGACAGTCCCTGGTTGTCCTGGCCCGGGACCTGGGCTTCAAAGTCTACAACCGATACGTCACCCAGAGGAAGCTGCGCAGCCGCCAGCTGGGGAAGGTGCAGGAGGTCTACAAGAGCTACATTCATCTGCTGGCCAGGGACGGCCAGGTAGGCGTCCCAGGGGGCACGGGGACCTGCGGGGAGCCCAGCAGCAGAGCCGGGGTGGGCCGAGGTGGTTTGTCTGCCCATCTCCTCACTGGGGCCAGTCTCTGGGAACCTGCTGCTGCAGAGGCCCCCCAGAACTGCAAGGCCCCGTCTGGCACTGGGCAGGCCCCTGCCCTGTGGCAACATGCGGGTCGGCTCTGGGACAGCAGTGGGTGTTTCTGGGCTGGGGGATGTTAAATCGGCCAAGCTGATCCCTCGGAGCCAGACAGCCCACGTGGGAGAGCTCTGGGTCTCGGGGTGCGCTTGGGAGAGGGAAAGGGGCCAAGGGCACAACTCTGGGCAGCTCGTTCCCAGAGCTGTGTGGGGGAGGCAGGTCTGCAGGAGGGGTGGGATGGGGCGGGGACATGGTGTCAGCCTGGGGATGTGGCCCGAGGAAGGGCTTTGCAGCGCCACTGTCCTGGCACCTTCTCGCTGTTGGGCTTCTCCTGGCCACACCCTCCCCAGGGACACTGAGCCGGGAGGGTCCTCGGAGCCATGTTCCAGGAGACAGATCCCCCCCAGCAAACCCCAGGGAGTAGCAGGGTGGCCCCTCCAGCTGACCCGCTCTTCTCCTTCCACCTCCCAGCCCCACAAGTGCTTGCCACGGGAATACTGGGAGAAGCTGGTAGTGGAAGCCGGCTTCGGGCCTTCCCTGAACCTGAAGGACTGCAGCTGGCCGTACATGCTCCTCATGCGCCTGGGCATGCACCTGCTGGAGCTGCTGGTGCAGGCTGTCAGGGTGCCCAGGAACAGCCTCAACCCCCGCCTGGAGCCCCGGCTCATCCCCGTCCTCTACCACGTCTACTCCTTCCGCAGCAGCTGGCAGGTGAGCCTCGTCCAGGGGGCTCTGGGGCTGCGCAGGTCCCCTCCTCACCCAAACACTGTCCCTCCCTGCTGCCTTTCGCGCGCAGGGACGCTTTGAGGAGCCCCCGGTTCTGTGTGACAATGTCCATCCTTAGCCTGATCACACACTCTTCCAGACGCCAGCCCTGACCCTCTGCTGCTGATTCTCCTCTCCAGGTCGGGCTGATAAAGCCCCATCCCATCTTCTCCCAGCTTGTGTCGGACGCTGCAGAGACCACACTGACCTTTAACAGCTCCGTCATACCAATGCTGTGCCCGCCAGTGCCCTGGACCTCCCCCCATTTCGGTGCCTTTGTCCTGAACGACACCAGGCTGATGCGCTTTGTGGACGGGGCCGTCCAGCACCAGCTGCTCCTGGAGCAGTGTCCTCCGGTCAACCTCCACCCCGTGCTCGATGCCCTCAACCAGCTGGGCAACTGCGCCTGGAAGATCAACCAGCCCGTGCTGGATATCATCATCTCCATCTTCAACGACAAAGGCAACGAGAAGCTGGACATCCCGCCGCCCGTCTCGGAGGCCCCCAGGCCTCCTGCTGCTCCTCCTGGCAATTCCACCACCGGGAACAAGTCCCACAAGCACGAGCTGCTGCTGTGCAAGAAGAAGGCGGCTGAAATGCACAGCTTGCGCATGGACGCGCTCTACAAGCTCTCCATCGCCAACTTCGTCAGGGACAAGGTGTTCTGGTTTCCCCACAACATGGATTTCCGAGGCAGGACTTACCCTTGCCCGCCTTATTTCAACCACCTCGGTAACGACGTCACCCGGGCCATCCTGCTTTTCGCAGAGGGAAGGCCGCTGGGGCCCAAGGGCCTTGACTGGCTGAAGATCCACCTCATTAACCTCACGGGGCTGAAGAAGAACAACGCCCTGAAGGAGCGGCTGGACTACGCCAACGAGATCATGGAGGAGATCCTGGATTCCGCCGACCACCCGCTGACGGTAGGTGGGGAGTGGCCGGCGCCGCCCCGCTCGCTCCTGGGGGGCAGCGGTGGGGCCGGCTCCGGGAGCCTGTGGCTGCCCCCAGGCGGGCTGGGAGGTTCCCCCTCAGTGACCCAACTGAAAAGCAAAAGCAGGGAGGTTCATCTCTTGGACAATTTCTATTCCAACTCCGAGTGTGCTAAGGAAAAAGGGTCGATGTCATTGTTCATTTCAGAGGAGACTTAACCATTTGTCTTAGCACAGCTCCTAGAAGGTAAACCAAAATGGAAATCAGATCAATTTTGAAAGAGAACTCTTTGAGGGTTTCTTAAATAACACGTTTCTCTCTGAAAACACAACGAAATGTTAGGGAGGTAGAGGCATGGCGGGGGCAGGTGCCTTGCCAGGCTTATCCTGGGAGCACAGGGGCTCAGCCTTGGCTTGGGCTGCCCCAGAGCACTGGCTGCTCCCGCCAGCCTCTGCCCTCCTGTTCCAGGGCAGGAAGTGGTGGATGAACACTGACGAGCCCTGGCAAGCCTTGGCCTGCTGTATGGAAATCGCCAAAGCCTCGAGGTCCCCGGATCCAACAGCCTACATCTCTCATTTCCCAGTTCACCAGGTGGGAGCTCGATAGATCTGCATGGCCTGTGTGGTAGAGCCGGGGCTCGGGGAAGGGCCGGGGGCTTGGGCAGGGCAGGAGCAGCCAGGACTTGGCGCTGCACTCACTGCTCGCTTGAAGGGCAGCTCAGCCTGCGGGCACCTTGGCTTGAGAGCTCCCGCAGTTCTCTGCTGGGTGCAGCTGTTAAGGGCCGGCACAGTCTCGTGCTGCTTCGCTTCCTCTGGCTGGGAGATGGGGGTCGGCTGCCTGCGGGGCGCCGCTGGCCTGGCCTCACCTGCCCCGGCCACAGGATTGGGGCTGGGAGTTGCCCCGGCCCCGTGGCCTGGTGAAGGCAGCACCTGTCTGGCCGAAGCCCTCGGGGCTGCGCCAAGGCGTCGGGGCCTTTACTCCACTCCCATCCCGAGGCTGAGGCTGAGCAGCTCCACGGGAGCAAAGGGTGGGAGGTCTGGACCCCGGAGAAGGGTGGGGGACGGAGCCGATCTGAGCCCGCGTCAGTGACGTGGCTGCCACCGCACACCTGGTCCCTCCCGGTCCTGGATGTGCCCATGCTCCGAGTGTGTCCCCCCAGTAGCCAGGTGGCTGCTCCCGGTAGCCAGCGCTCAGCCCTTTCTCCCTGCTGTGCCCCAGCAGATCCGTGCTCTGTCTGTATCCGAGGTACCTCTCTGCGCCCATAAACCCCCTTCTGCATGGGAGACAGTGATTGATTAATTTTTTTCCTGGTGAGAGGGGTTTGCTCATCTATCTCATTAGAAGATCAGATGCCCATAATGAAGGGGGGGGATAGTGGGGGTGTATTCTGCCCATAGTGATGGTCTGGAATATGTATGAGACAGTCTAAACTGATCCTGTTGTGACAACAGAAGATCAAGAGAGCAGCGGGGGCGTGGGGGGGTGCTGCTAATGGGCTTCGGGAGGGCACCCGAGTCTCTGCACCTGAGTCATCGGCGCTTGGCTACCACCGGCAGCCCCTCTGCCGCGGCGCTGCCGGAGCCCTCGGCTCTGCCTCTCGCTGCACCGTGGGGTGCAGGGAGGTGGCAGGGTGGATCCTGCCCGCGGCTCCGGGCGCCCTTTGATCAGGCAGAGCCCCCGCGGGAGCAGGGGTGGCTCTGGAGCAGCAGCACATCTGCTGGCGCTGGCTGGGGAGTGGCAGGACCTTCCCATGCCTTTGCTCGGTCCTGCCCGCCTCGCCCGGGCTGGTCCTGGTGCCGGGAGGGCTCTTGGGCACTGCTGTGGCAGGTTGGTTGGTGAGCCTCTAGCCCCGGCTTTGGGACGGGCCGGCTCGGGGCTGCTTTCTGTCAGAGGGTGTTTCCATCAGCCCCAGAGCGGAGGGGCCGGCTGTGGCCTCCGAGTCACCCCAGGCTGCCCCGTGGCCCTCGGCCCAGCTGCTCTCCCACCACCGAGCCCGCCCCTGGGTGCTCTGAGGCTGTTTTGACTGCTGCCTCTGGGGGCTTCTTTTAGCATCCAGACAGATTTGTTTTTTTTCCAAATATTCTGTTTGTTCAGTGTTTCCACAGAGCTCTGATGTCTTTGAAAATTCATGGAGGGGGCAGTGTGACGTGAAGTTTTCTTTTTTTAAACCTCATAGGCAGCAGTAGTTGGTGATGAGACCCAGACAAGAATACTGGCCAGAAGGAAAATGGAAACTAGTGTGGCCCTGGCAGCTGCTGGGAGATCAGCTGCAAAGCTGTCTTGGGAGGGGGGGTGGCCATAACCTCTGAGCCCAGTGCTGGCGCTCAGGGCGGGCAGATGAGCTGGGCTCTGTGCACATGCCCACACCCTGTCCCCGCACAGGACGGCTCCTGTAATGGTCTGCAGCACTACGCCGCGCTGGGCCGGGACCTCATCGGCGCCATGTCCGTCAACCTCATGCCCTGCAGCGTCCCCCAGGATGTCTACAGCACCGTGGCCCAGCAGGTGAGGTGTGGCGGGGGCAGCACCTCTGGGACCCACTTCCCCCCTTGCCCGTGTTGCATGAGGTCCTCCAGCTCCCGGGGAGAAAGGTTGGGGTAAGGCCAGTGTGCTGGGACAGCCTGAGCTAGTCAGAGTGGGGGGGTCTCTCCCTCCTTCAGCGGGAACCAGTGCCTCAGCAGGGATCTGACTGGAGATCTCCTCACAGAGGCAGCTGTGAGAAATCCACTGGGATTCCCGCTGTCTGCTTCTGAATGAGGTCTGGGAAAAGTAGGACGGGGAGGTGGAAGAGAGCAGAGGGGGTTCCTTATCTCTTGGTGGCAGCCGGCTGGCCCGCAGGTTGTGGGGTTTTCTTTGAGCTGGGCAGGAAGGAGGAGAGAGAGGTTCAGCCCTTGGCACTGCAGCGAAGTCTGCAGTTTCCTTGGGCAGATGCAACGTGAAGCAAGGCCGCTGGGAGTGCTGCAACCTGCCAGCCCCACTCTGCGGGCGCTGCACCCCCGGCTCTGCCTTCGGGGCCTCGGCACGTTTTACCCAGGCGGGAGGAGCACGCAGAGGGTTTGCTCAGTTATCGCTGGAGTGGCAGAGCTGGAGAACCCGAGTCCCGAGCCGCAGTCCTAGTGCCGTGTCCTTGTGGTGCTGGACAAGTGACACTTGTGACATGTGACAGTGCTGAGGCAGCAGGGGAAAGCTTGGGTCCTGCGGGCGCTGTTCCCTCTGAGGTCTGGGTGCCTCTTGATCCCTTCAGCAGATGATCTCTTAACTGGGGCTGGTGGAGGTGGGCTACAGGGTTTCTGGTGGGAGCTCAAGCCAGGCGGTGCCCAGCTGGGGGGGGTGTCTTGTGGTTCCCCTGATGCTCTTGGCCAGGGAAGGGCTTGGGCCAGCAGCTCCTGAGCGCTGCCCTCCTCAGGTGGAGGAGTTTCGGAAGAAGGATGCTGAGCATGGGGTGAAGGTGGCCCAGGTGCTGCAGGACTTCATCAGCCGCAAGGTGGTGAAGCAGACGGTGATGACGGTGGTGTACGGCGTCACACGCTATGGCGGGCGGCTGCAGATCGAGAAGCGCCTCAAGGAGATCGACGAGTTCCCTGAGGTAACGCCCCTGCCCTGCCCTCCCCGGCGTCGCTCCACGCTCAGCCTTTGACAGGAGAGGTGCCCGCAGTGCCCTTCCTCTGCCTTGCCTTCCTGCCTTCCTCCTCGCCCCCAGACCTCCCAGCAAAGGGGTGAGCAGGACTGGGCAGAGATCGGCCTGTCCTTGGACAAGGAGCCCTGTGAAGTGCTGATCTGGGCCTCCCTCCGTTGCACCCCACCAGCTCCAAACTCACGCAGCCCGTGATGGAGGCGGCGCTGGGGAGCAGCGAGTGCTCTGGTGCTTCACCCCAGGACCCCTCGCTCTGCCCCTTGACCCCTTGCTCTGCCTCTGCAGGAATACTTGTGGGAAGCATCAGACTACTTGGTGAAGAGGGTGTTCAGTGGCATCAAGGAGATGTTCTCAGCGACCCGAGACATCCAGGTAAGGTGCCTGTTGCCTCATCCCTCTCTGCCTTTTCTTCTTCCTGGGCCTGCCCATGCACAGACCAGGGGCTGCTCCAGGGCAAGAGATGGTTCTTCTGGGCCCTGGCCCAGAGAGGATCCTCCTGTCCCAGCCCAGAGGTGTGGGATTGTGCCAGTACCGGGCCAGACATCAGGGTCACCTGCAAGGGGATGGGGTCTCCCAGCTGCCCCCACTAACTCCAGCTACTCTTTTCCCTGGCTCCCTGCAGAAGTGGCTGACGGAGAGCGCCAAGCTCATCGCCCAGTCGGGACAGACGGTGGAGTGGGTCACGCCGCTGGGTCTCCCCATCGTGCAGCCCTACTACCGCTCCAAGTCCACTGTGGTAAGTAGGGGTGTGCAGGACCCCTCTGCCCCTCCCCGGCTGTGCTGGGGAGCAGGGAGAGGCAGCGAGCTGAAGCCCAGCGGGCTGGCATTCCTGCGGGTGAGCCTGCAGAGCGGGTGGGGCTGTGTGTGCAGGCGCATCCTCCGGCCTCGTCGCTCCCGGCAGAGACAGGAGCGTGTGGGTGGGCTGCTGAGGAAGCTCTGCTGCTCCTGTCCCACTCAGGCAGCTGGGGCACAGGCCCACTCCACACCGGGGAGCCTTCCCGGGGCTGGCATGATTCAGTCTCGCTGCTCTCGCCTCCCACACGCTGCTGCGCTGACTCACGGCTCCCCGGCCCGACTCGTCCCCGCAGCCGCTCACCACCACGAGCCCTTCCCGTGGCCCTCACAGGGCTGAATCAGCGCGTTGCTGGGAGGGGGCTGGGGTCCCGGCCAGCACCCTCAGGAGGGGCAGCGGGCAGGGCGCCGCTGAGCAGCACCCGCTGCCGTGGTGACTGGGGTGCTTGGGGAGGTCCCTGCCCAGACCCCCCCTGTAGCCGGGGACACCCCTGGCAGAGCAGCTCCCGGTCGGTGCCGGCATCGCGGGGCAGGGCCCCGTGACAACCCATCCCTCCCTCTCTCCCTGCAGCTCAACTGCAACATGCAAGCCTTGAGCGTGAAAACCTTCAACAGCAGCCAGTAAGTACGAGACCGTGGTGTCCCTGGGCTGTCCCTGCCTGTGCTCTGGGGACAGAGCCCGCCGTGGGCAGAGCTGGCCCAGGGAGCCCTCGGGTCTCGCTGGCGCCCTCCTCCCCGGCCCTGGAAGTGCTGCAGCCCCTCCTGCCCTGTGCTGCAGGAAGCCCGACACGGTGAAGCAGAAGAACGCCTTCCCCCCCAACTTCATCCACTCCCTGGACTCCACGCACATGATGCTCACGGCTCTGCACTGCCTCAGGTGGGCAGCGGCACCCAGGCCCCCCTGCTTGGGGGGGTCAGGGTTCCCGGTGGGCGGGGGGTGAGGGGAGGTGCTGACGTTGGCCGCTGCTCTCTGAAGGTCTGGGGGTGCCGGGCAGGGGGGTGTGAGTGTCCCCCCTCCCTGCTCGTGTCCCGGCGAGGTCTGCATGGGGTGGGGGCCAGTGCTGGGGGGGGCTCTCGGTATCAATGGCACCTTCTGCTGCCCCCAGGCAGGGTCTGACCTTCGTCTCGGTCCACGATTGCTACTGGACTCACGCGCTCACCGTGGATGTCATGAACCAGGTACGAGTGTCCTGACAAGAGCAGGGATCTCGCTGATCTGTCCTCTGGGCCCGTGCCAGCCCTTGCCTGCCGTGGGCTTTGCTCCAGAGCCTGGTTTATTTACCCGGGCACAGTGAGCCTGGGTCGCTCGCCAGTGGCTGCAGCTGATGTCCTGGGCCTGTAGCCCCATCTCCTCCCACCCTTCAGGGAGCGTCTGTGGGAGAATCTCCCCGTAAATCAGCGACAAACCCAGTGCCTGGCAGCATCGGTGCCTCTGCGCTGCCCTGGGCCCTACCCCTTGTCTTGCTGCCATAGCTGGTGTAGAGTTGATTGACAAATGAGGGTCAGCCTCTGCCTCCCCCCTCCCCAGGCTGATTCCCTTTCCCCTTGTCTGGCAGCCCCCCTGTCCCCCTGTGCCACTCACCTCTGTCTTGGCTGATGAAGCACTTGGGGGAAGGAGGGTACAAGGCCCCTTCACTCACCATTGCTCCCTGGGTCAGATCTGTCGGAAGCAATTCGTGGCTCTGCACAGCGAGAAGATCCTGGAGGATCTGTCCAAGTTCATGGTGGAGAAGTACTGCAGGTACTCCTGGCCTGCTGGCAAACCCCCCCACGCTCCCTGTCCCCAGCCCTTCCCTCTCCCGGGGTGGTTGTGCCCAGACGCTCATGGTCCTTGCTCTGGAGGGAAGCTGCTCTTCCTTCCTGACTGGTACTCGGATTGCCTTGGACCGCGGGGTGAAAAGCAAGGTGTCTGCATCCTTTTGGTACAGAACTGGGGTAGGATTTGGTGCTCGAATGCATCGGGGGGCCTGGGGCTCCCCACTGTGAATGGGGCAGTAGGGTGCTGGGTTGGTGTGTGGCTCTTACCCCCTGCCCACCCCCACCCCCCAAGACTGGCCCCGTCCTGGGCAGCGTCTGCACCTGCCTCAGCACCTCCCTGGGGCTGCTGTGGCCAGGGCTGAGCCCCGCTCGGGTGCTGCAGCAGGACTGTGTTCAGGGACAGCTGAACCCTCTTGTCAGGGGGAGCAGAGGAGCATGCATCTTCTCCCGGAGCTCCCACGCTGATTTGCTTTTCTTTTGGTTCATCCAGCCCTGACAGAGAGATGAGAGCCCTCTGGCAGAGTAAACTGATGGAGCAGCTGTCCAACGTCCCCAAGACTGGTACGAGCAGCAGCCCCGAGCCCTTTGGAGACGGGGAGGGTGGGGGGAGTGGCCCCCAACATCGCTGGGCAGGGTGGGGGTCCCTGGGTGGGGTTTTGCTGCCTGTGCTGGATGGCAGAGCAGGGGGCAGCACCTTCAGACATTCACCTGCAGCTCCCTGGAGCCCTCCCTGCGCCCCCCCAGGCCCGGGGGTTCTCCCCAGGATGCCCCAGCCCAGCTGCGCTCCTCTCCCATCTGCTTCCAGCCAGAGGCCTCTGCCTGGAGAGGGGAGGTGATTGCCAGGATCTAGATAATACACATACAATGGGATTAAGGCAATTACTTTAACTCCTCCTAATCTCGGCTCTGCCTCTGCCAGACCATCTGCCTGACCTCTCGAGCAGGCCCCTGGCTCTTGGGCAGCGCTGTGCTCGGCCCCAGCTGTGGCACAGGCCGGGGACGGTCCATTCCCTCTCGTGCTCCCCTGCCTTGCTGCTCCTACTCTTCTGTCTTGCTCTTCCTACCACGCTCCCAGATAAATTTGGAAGAACATCAATTCCTGAAGACCACAACCCTCCCCACTGTGCCGGCCCAGCCTGGGGCGGGCGCTGAGCTGCAGCCATTCTCCCAGGAGGCTGAAGCAGGGCTTGGTGCAGCTTCTCTGACCTCTCCCTCCCTTTCCCCAGGCAAGTTCAACCTGAGGCAGGTGATGAATTCCACCTACTTCTTCAGCTGAGCCCCGGCAGCCAGTGGGGCCCCGACTACCTCGCACTGCTGCCATAGGCTCTGGCCCGCGTCTCCTGGGGAAAGTGGGTTTGGTTGCCAGCCCAGCAAGATGCCAGCCCAGGGCAGGACACTGGGCCAAACTGGGAGTGTGCAGGAGTGGGGGCTGGGGGAGCTCTGTGTCTGCACTGTTTGCTGCTGCTGCCCCTGGCCCAGGCACGGGGGGGCTGCAGCTCTCCGGTGACAGTGGCCGGCTCCTCTTGCTGCTTGCCCTGGCACAAGGGCCTGGGCTGCTGTGCCCCCCGTCCCTCCTCGCTGTGCAGCTCAGCCCAGGATCATTGGCCTCCGCAGCTCCTGCTGGCTCCAACAATCACTTCTGCTTCTGCTCCCTGAGTCTCAGACAGGGAAAAACCACTAACCTGGGGATGGAGGTGTATAATACTGTAAATAAAATGTATTTTGAAATACGATCTGGGCACTGACTCCTTCTCAGAGGTCTGGGCTCTTATCCCTGTCCTGGGGAGCTGGGACTGGTTCCCCCACTCCTGTTTTGCTGATGAAAGGTGTCACATTCTGGAACTGCTTTTGCAGCAGAAACGGAGACAAAACTCCCCTCCTCGCGCTGAGGGGCTGGTGCGGCAGGAGCAGGGGTGACCGCAGCTCCCTGCAGGGAGGAAATCCTGCGCCTGGGGCTCACCTGAGCCTGTGCCTGCGGCCCCAGGGAGTGACCTTTTCACCTTGTCCCTCTGGCAGCTCCTGGGGTCGGGAGCGGAGGCAGCCGGAGCTGCGGCAGGGGGGACGGTGGTGAAGAAGCGGAGACGGAGTCAGCCATAGCTCTGTCAGCTGCTGACGTTTATTGCACAGGATGGGCTGGAGGGGAAGGGGGACGCTGGCGTGGGCCCCGCAGGCGCTGCGGGACATTCAGTGTGGGAGGCTCTGGAGCGTGAGGCAGAGGCATACGTGCACACACACACACACACGGTACACACCCGCCAGCACACGTGTGTCCATAGCAGCACACACACATATCCATAGGGGCACACACGTGTCCATAGGGGTGCACACACGTATCCATAGGGGCACACTGTGTGTGTGTCCCCAGTCTTAGTGCTGGGACAGCCCCGGGTGTGTGTCCCCAGGCTCCCGCATCTGACTGCAGGGAAATGGGGTTGTGTTTCTCCCCCGGCCCCAGGGTCGGGCTGGAGGCAGCAGCGTGTGCATTGGCTGCTCATGAGCCTTGGGGCGACCGTCCCTCAGACACCCCCCCCCCACTTACCTGCAGTCCTGGACCGTCACCCCTGGCCCAGGGTCTGTGGGAGGGGAGAGGGGCAGGCGGTGGGGCTGGCCAGTGCCTAAAGCCCCAGGGAGGGGTCCTGGGGCTGCGCAGACACAGGCGCGGGCTCAGGTCACGGATCATACGCGGAGCTGAGACGGGGATGATGCAGCTCTGGCTTCTGGGGGCAGCTGGGGGCAGCGGGGCTTCGCCACGGGGAGCAGGAGACGGGGCCGCGCTTTGGTCAGAGGCAACACAGGCCGGGGCTCAGCCCGGCCCCCCCCTACCCCCCGCGGTGGGTGGGGGGTGCAGT